ATATATATATTTATATTTATATTTATATATATATATATATTTAAATATATATATATATATATATATAATATATATATATATTTTAACACATTTGTGTAAGTGCTTCCTATGAAGTTTTTTGTCCCTGAGTTGTCTTGGGCCAGGCATTGTCTGATTTCAAGAGTTGAAGTCATTTCTAAATGGTTTGAAGGAGGTGGTAAATCTAGAAATTTGAAGATGTGGAGGCTAAATTCATGAAAGTTTAGCATGAGATGTCAAAAAACAAACAAACAAAAAAAAAAACAACTCAGTGCCATGGAATCCATTTGACTCATAGCAACCCCTCCTTGGGTTTCTGAGGAGGTATCTCTACTGAAGCAAATTGCCCAATCTTCCTTCTGAAGAGTGGCTGGCAGGTTTGAACTACCAGCCCTCTAGTTAGCAGTCACATGCCTTAGGCACTATGCCACCAGAGCTCCCAGTATGAGACATATATGGTGAAAAAAAAAAAAAAAAAGGAAAAACAAAACCAATAAATGGGGACATTGAAGATAAGTTCCTTTGCTTGATAAATTTGCTTACGTCCTCTCCAAATCATGTGACTTCTACCTTTTATACTCTACACTAACTTCTACATTCATACATGCTACAACACAGGTGAACCTTGAAAATATTAAGCTGATTGGAATAAGTCAGTCACCAAAGGACAAATATTATATGAAGAAACAACTGTATAGAGACCAAAGTTTAATAGTGGTTATCAGGGGCAGGTGGAAGCGAGAGAAAAAGGACTCAATGTTTAGGGTCGCTGAGCTTCTGTTAAAGAGGATGGAAAAAAATTGGGAACTGATAGTGGTGATAGTTGAACAACAAGATGAACACAATTAATGTCACACAACTCTATGTATAAAGATTGTTGAAATGTCAAATGTGTTGCTATACTTACCACAATTTAAAAAATTGAAAAAACAAGAGTGAATGAGATTATATGCTTTGTTCTTTGTCTTCACCAGCTTCTCCCTATTCCAAATTGAACAGCTGGAATAGTATTGGTTACTATTAAGCCTTTACCATAAGACACCCCAGTCAAAAAGTTCTAGGTGGTAACTCTTCTGCTACTGAATTGTGGCAAGGTCCATATCTTTGAGGAAGGGGGTGAAGTGGGGCCAGGTGGGGGGTGGGGCATGGTACCAAATGCAGTTGCTGTTTACTAGTTCACATGCAGGTATTCTATATTTTTAAGAACCATTATTGCTCTTCCCATGTCTCACATTCTTTCCAAGTGACAACAGCACATTTTTGGACTTGGAAGAATAAGATATAGTTGTTATCTTCCCTCTCCTCCGTTTAATGTACTAATTTGCTTTATTCTCATGTATTTTTTTAGTTCACCTGACATGCACATTGCTAGTCCATGATCTGTACTACATGTCATTTTGAGTTTTTACTTAAAGCTATAAAATAGTTTGGTTTATGGATTAAATTTTGAAACTCACTTTCTTACATAAACATGGCAGGAGGAAAAAAATGTCCAAATATCATGAATTATTAGGCTAAGAATATTTTAGGATATTTAGAAAATATATAATCCATGGTTGTTGATTTCAGTGAATTATTTAATTGCGTTTTTTTAAACTGTACTCTCTATTCCTGAAAATATCAAAATAATTTTTCTCACAGTGGCCTTAAATTTCCAGACCCCTGGTCTGCCTATGGATCTACAAAATGGAAAATTTTTGGACAATGGTGGTTCTGGATATATTTTGAAACCACAGTTCCTAAGAGACAATAAATCAAACTTTAATCCACATGAAGCAATTAAAGATAGTAAACCAGTTACACTTACAATAAGGGTAAGTTTAATAACATCTTTTTCTTATACTTTTATTTGGTTATATCAGCTAGATATTATAAATTAATATTTTGAGTTCCATTGATTTTCCTTTGAAATTTTATTATTTTTTTCGGTACTATGTAGGTGGGTAGTATTTCCCCATCCTTCCATATCTGAAAATGTCTTTCTGTTGTCTTCTCACATGAATGATTACCTGTTTGTGAAAAGAAATATTGGAGCTAAGAACTTCTCTTTTCAAATATCTATTTATATTATTCCATTGTTCATAAGCTCTTAATATCGTGATAGGTACATCTGAGTTCAAATATTTTGTGAGTGTCTTGCTTTTTTCCCCTCAACTTTAAATAATTTTACCAATGAATTCTAGATGCTGTTTTCTTTCACTAATCCCTAGAATTAGCTTTCACAGTTCAGGATTTTTTCCATCAGGTCTCTGAATATGATTTACTTGTTTGGAAACCATAAGTATTCATGTTTTTCCCCAGTATCTATCCTTCATGTCCATGTGTTGGTGTTAACTTTTATCACTTTCTCTTTTCCTCTGCATTTTGAGAGAGCTTTTAGTATTTTTTTTTTTCTCTCTACATTGACGATTCAAGGCATAATAGTTGATTTTATTCTTTACTGATTCTAGTGTAGATTTGAAATTTTCTCTTGCATTATTAGTTTCCCCCCCAAATTTTTATTTACCTCATATTGCTTTTCTTATATTTCTGTCTGTGTCATATCTAGCAAACTTTTTCCCCAGGGTATTTTCTTATTATTTCATCTTTAATTTTTGTTTTATTACATCGTTGCTTAATTTCATTGAGAGCAAAGGCAATTGTGTAAAATATATTGTTTCCACTGGGAAAGATTTTTCAAAAGCTTTCCTTGTTCTTCTAGATCCTAGGTGGTACATATTTTTTCTTTTTAAAAAAGTCATTGAAAAGCTCCTAGTTTTTTTTCTCTTCATTTAATTATGAGCAGTCCTACTGTTTGAAAATCAGTAGGATGTGTATGGTCTCATTTCCCATTGGTCCCTTTTTCTATTTGAGTAGTTGTTGCTAGAATTATATAAACTATCTCAGATTCTGTTCTGGATGCTTGGTAAATACTTATATTGTTGTCCATGCCCAAGATTATTGTGTCTCACATTATCTACCTAGTGTAGAATTGCTGGTTCTGCTGTCTGGTGAGAGTTCTGCACACATTACCTGGCTATCGGAGTGTATGTATAAAGCTGTAGAGCAACACCATCACCACCACCATCCAGCCTCCGCCAATATGGTTCTTTCATAATCATCCTATCTCAGCTCCTTCCACCACTGTCATAACATCACAGGATTTGAGGAACCACTCATATCCATTTCAGCAGGCCTTCACCATTTTATCCCAGCCAAAAAAAGGAGGCTTGGGAACTATTGTTCAGAAGTTAATGGGTAAAAAGGGGACAGAATAGATGAATGGTACTGAAACGATCCTGGCCACTACAGGAAACCACTCCAGTGATGGATATAGGTGACATTTCTTCTGACAAAATTCTGTTAAAGATTGTTAGGAACATCCTGTTAAGGATTTTGTGACTCCAAAGTAGGGCCACATAGTGGATGGATAGAAATTGCCAGCAACACTAGATTCAGACAAAAATTTATTACTTGGCATTCATTCCAGAATCTGGCAATGTGTCGACCATTAAGCTTACCTTATAATGTTATTATGACTTTGGCATTCTTCTTGTCCTTTTTGATAGTTGTTCTAGTGAGAAGATGAATCAGCCACTCTAAACTTGCTTTCTATTCCACACAAATCTCCTTGCTGTGCTTCTGTAATTGAACTCTCTTTTTAAATCTACCTCCCAAGCAATTCATTTGGATTTTCTTTTGTTTCTCTTTCTCCACCTGCCCCTGAAGTACTTATGCTGCCTAAGGCTTTCTTTTTAATCTTTGTCACAAACTAAATATTCTCCATGGGTTATTTTATACATACTTATATCTTTAACCACCATGTATGTACCAACAGTGACCTCATTTTTTTGTGATCTAAAGGCATAATTTTAACAGTCTACCTAGCATCTCTACCTATTTAATCACCATTACGTCATACTTAAAATATTAAAAGCTAGGGATTTCTGTTTTCCAGTCTGACATGTGAAGAGCTTGGGAGTTATCGCTCCAACCCAGAAAACAAGAAAAAAATCTCAAAACAAAACAAAACAAAACCAAAAAACCCCTGTAAATCAGAAACATATCTGAGATTTATCAGAGAATTGAAGATATGGTGAATCACAGTTTACCAGGAGCAGAAGCCCAGAAGCAAATGCCTGAAGCTGGAGCCAGAACTGATAGGAACATTTAAACTACAATTGATGAAATCCTGGGTGCTCAGGGTGGACTAACTTATTCTTGGGGTAGAGACAGTCTTAGGGGAACCAGCAAACTTTCATAATTTGTATCTCCAAGAGAACCATCAGGTTCTAAGTGAAAACTGCTCACAAAGGAGCACTGGTGGCACAATGGTTAAGTGCTCAGCTGGTAAGTGAAAGGCCAACCACTCAACTGGAGAAAAGATTTTGCAATCTGCATCTGTAAAAGTTTCAGCATAGGAAACCCAATAGGGCAATTTTACTCTGCCTTACAAGGTTTCTATGAGTCAGAATCAATGCAGAGACACAACACAACACCACACCATTTCTGGCAAGAAGGGAAAAGTATCCATTATGAAATATTCTCAGCCCTTTCTATTCTCCTTAAGGGGCTCTGGTTGGGCAGTGCCTAAGGCATTTGACTGCTAACCAGAAGGCTAGCAGTTCAAACCTACCAATCACTCCATGAAAGGAAGACTAGGCAATCTACTTATGTAAAGATTTACCACCTCAGAAACCCAAAGGGGTTTGCTAAGAGTCAGAGTCAACTTGATGGCAGTGAGTTAGGTTTTGGTTTCTATTCTTCTTACTGAGGTCTTCCTTCTAGATAAACTATTTTATAATTGCCAAACTCAAATGCAGTGAGACTTTTTTTTTTTTTTTTTTTCCCGGAATCTACTTGGGTTTACCAAAGCCTAACCAACCTGAAGGTTGAGCAATCTACTTCTGTAGTGATACTGCCTTGGAAACCCAAGGAGGGGTTGCTATAAGTCAAGTCTGACTCAACGGCACATAACAACAACAACCAACCAACCTGAGGGAAGGGAAAAACCCAGTTCTAGCCTCCTCTAGCTTGTCTGTCTCACCTAAAAGGTAGGTGGGAATCTGAGGAGCACTTGTGAAGGTCACAGCTTAAAGATACAAGCACACTAAAGGAATGAGATCTAATCATTAGATGTTGGAAAGTTTCCCTGCTCTTCACACACACACCTTACTGCCACATCATTAGGGTTCTACTTGAAAGAGCTGCAAATCTCAGACCCTATTTAAGGCAATAGGGAGCTAAGAATAAAGATACTAGAGGAAATTTTAGATTCTGATACCACAACTGCTACAAACAGTAAGCATAACATAACTCTTAGCCAGATAACATAAAACAAAAACATAAAACCTCACACCAAAGGTTTATTTACTTCTGCTTATTTTACCCAATACATCAAGCCTGCTTTCAACAACAACAAAACAATAGGTATGCTAGACAGTACATAACAACAACAACAGCAGCAAGAGGCAAAAAGCAAAACAAAAAACTCCATCCATTTATAGAGAATGAAAAGACAAGCCACAGACTGGGGGGAAATATTTGAAAACCACATCTGATGGAGGACTTATGTCTGAAATATACAAGAGCTCACAAAACACATCTATAAGAAAGCAAACAACTCAACTGCAAAATGGACAAAATATCTGAACACACACCTCACTAAAGAAGAAATAACCCATTATTTTCACCTCAGTTCCAACTCATGGCAACCCTGTAGGACAGAGTAGAACTGCCCCACGAGGTTTCCAAAGTTGTAATTTGTTCTGGTTAACTGGTGCCACTCTGACAGGTATACCACAAATGGGATAGCCTTAACAAATAGGAGTTTATTCTTATAATTTGGAGGCTTTAAGTCCAAGTTCAAAGTACCAGGCTCTAGGGGCTTGGTGAAAGCCCCTCAACCTTGGGGTCCAGCTCTGCCTCCTGCTCCCAGCCCACTGGAGCTAGAGGCATTTCTTCACTCAGGCAGCTGCTGGCTGCTGAGTCTGAGAAGCCCCAAGTTTAACAAATAAAAGGCACAGTCCTGATGTTACCAAACTGCACAGCAGGCCATTAACTTAAGTCCATTGTAAGTCCCAAGGTCGTCAGGGCCTAGCAGGCTGCTGAGCAACAACACAGCTACATGCAGGGACCAAGTGTGCCATAAGCTAGAGATCATTCTCAAAGCTTCTCCTTATATACAGGAAGCAAACCACATCCCAAAGGCAGGTACTCAGCTGCTTGTGGTAGATCCCACCATGGAGTTGATTGCCAGTCTCCTCATGGGGAATAACTACCACCAGCTGCCTAGCCACTCAACCAGGTCCAGCCAACTTAATATACAAATATAACTGTTTTGAAATACAATGCTGTCAGTGATAGGATAATATCCATACGCCTACAAGGAAGACCCGTTAATACAACTGTTATTCAAATTTATGCCCCAACCACCAAAGCCACAGAGGAGGAAATTGAAGAATTTTATCAGCTTCTACAGTCTGAAATTGACCAAACATGCAATCA